CAAAACATGCCTGTCTGTAATCTGAGAAGGGGTGTGTGTGTGTGTGTGTGTGTTTGTTTTCATGATATATAAGGACCATTATGTGAATACACACCTTCAATATCAGGACGCATACTAGAGTGTTCTAGAAGCCCCCAAATATCTCTATTGTCCTAAGAACCTTTGGAAAGCCACCTAAACATTTGTCCTATTTCTGTCATGTGTCCTTGTATATAATGAAAACACGTATGTGTGTGTGTGTGTTCCCTCCAATGAGGTGGCAGAGGGGTGGGTGGACGTCCCCAGATCAACACCCACAATGCATTGCAATGTAGTGAAGCATCGTCCTCCCATATTCTGTCCCCAGAGACGTGTAGAATCTTTAAAAGACCACACCTGTAAATACCAGCGGATACCAGTGTTGGTCTTAAAAGCCCCAGAGGTCCCATTAGTCTGAGTCCTGGGGAGGCCATCTTCAGTTTTTGAACTTTGAACAAGCTACATGCTTGTGATTGTCTGCAGGTCTGAGTGTTGAGTCCTGGTTGACTTATGAAAGTTGCAAGGGGTTTAAGTCAACACCTGATCAGTAAATCAATGAAATGTGTAACGATATGTGAAAAGACCTCATATATATTACATGAAAAGGAATGGTCAGCACAGCTTTGAGTGTCCTCATTACTCTTGATTGGTCCTCTTGCTCTTTCCCTGCTTTCAGAGGAGCTGGTGCCCAGTAAATGGGGTCTAGTGATGGACAGGTTGCTGGTTTTGTCCAGGAAGTTCTCCGACAATCTCGGCAAAGTTCAAGTGTTCCTCTGGAGGCTTTTGGAGCTTCACATCCTGAAGATGGTGGCCTTCTTTACTGTGTGGGTCGCACTGGAAGAGGTAAGGCAGGGCACCAAAAGCTGACCAACAACAGCCGTCCATCTGTGTTGTGGCTGTTTTACAGCTCATTTGTGGCGTTTAGCTCAGAGATGAGTACATCTTAGGTATCTGGAGCCTGTCAATAGCACTGGCAACTTGTTTATGCAGTTATTCTGAAACTTAGTGATGTTAAACATGAGGCAGTGTCCCTTCTTGCAACCCACAAAAGAGAAGAGAGTTACTAACTTCGGCCGAGGCAGATGCCCCCCACCCTGAGCCATGGTTCTGCTCCAGGTTTCTGCCTGTTAAAAGGAAGTTTTTCATTGCCTGTGTCGCCTAGTGCTGCTCATGGTGGGAATTGTTGGGTTTCTGTAATTAACTTCAGAGTAAGGTCTGACCCGCTCTGTTTGGAAAGCGCTGTGAGACAACTGTTGTTGTGATGTGGCGCTATAGAAATAAAATTTCATTGAATTAAATTGAACTTGTGTTTCTGCTGAGCTGTCGCTGTGCCGGGCAGGTAGTTTTACTCAGTCGCCCACCTGAGTTGCGGTGAGGACTGTAGGACTCAGAGTGTGTCCTGTGTGGGGATGGGGATCGAAACCCGGTTCTATCAAGGACCCGGTTCCACTTTTTTCAAAACCCGAAAATCCATACCGTTTGGGCTTATGGATACCACTATCGAGTCTGGTGGTTTTTTTATTATTACAATAGTAATTGTGAAATCCGTATTGTAATCGGCAGCATACAAGCTAGTTAGCTTGAAAAGTAAATAAAGTTTCAGACATGCTGCGTGATGATGTGTTCAGATTGGCTCAGTAAAACCACAATTAAGTTATCATGATGCCTTCAAGTGTAATGTTAAGAAAAGGGAAATTGATTTTTTGGCGAGAAACATGAGTAATACAGTTGTATATTGCTCTAATTATTTTAGAATATATAATTAAACTACTGATGCCAAAATTTATTAAAAATGACATTTAATTTAAGATACAATTATTCATTTGCTAAATATTGTTGCATCGTCTTTCCACCAAATAACAGAAAAGTATGGATAGTGGTATCGATAAAGACTAGGATCGATAAGGAGTATCGATAAAGGTATCGATATCAATAAATATTAACCATCCCCATCCCTGGTCCTGTGGTCCTGTCTCTGCAGCCATCGGTGATGAACCTGGTTCTGGTGGTGCTGTGGTCCCTGGCCATGCCCTGTTGCCGCTTCAGAACCATGGCGTCCTGCCTGTCCACGGTGTGGGTGTGCGTCATCATCGTCTGCAAGATGCTGTACCAGCTCAGTGTCGTCAACCCCGAGGAGTACTCCCGTAACTGCAGCAGGGTAAGCCACACCAGCAGTCGGAGCTCTGAGGAACCCGTTTCTGCAGGTGTCAGAACCCCATGGAAACACAGCCTGCTGGAGCTCTGCTTCAGGCAGAAACCTTGTAGTCTGTATGGAAATATCTCATCTCAATCCAGCCATTGTGTTAAGGAATCAGTGAGGAGTGGACCCCAAAGCAAAGACAGAGCTGCTGGATGAAGGAAGAACAGGTGACTTACTGGTTTGGAGGCAGAGTAGAGGTACCAGGGAATCCAGGAAGGGTGTACAGGATCCAGGTGGAGGTGCCAGAAGTCCAACGGGGGGAGGAGGTGTCCTTAAGGATCAGGGCTGGATGGTGGGATAAAGGGAGAGCGGCTTCCACCCTGAGCCCACTCAGCCTGAAACAACCTGCAGGACCCAAAGAGCAGGGTCATCAAACGCTTCCCCTTTAGAACATCAAATCTATGACCAGTTCAAACTCACCTATCCAAACGACCCCAGTAGGAAGTGGTCATCTATTCACTCATAGTCACTGAACAGATGCTCAGGTGACCCACAGTGTAAAAAACAGCATCGCATTTTCTATACGGTCTGAAACCTTCAGTGAAATAATAGAACAAAGTGTAAGAGGGATGTTCTGATCATGTGATAGAAAAGTAGACCTTACCAGAGGACAGAAGTGGGTAGCTGTGTCATGTCGTTCTTCTCAGAGATGAGCCTCCACCTTAATGGGTGAGGCCTCTGCATCTGAGGGGTCCCTCACCACTGACCTGATGATGAATGGCCCTGGTAGAAAATACAGGCAGGCAGGATGGGTCTTTTTGTGGACATGCAAACAAGTAAAGCACCATGAATATGTCTAGTGACCCAGAATCATTCCTTCCCTTTTTTCACAGCCTCTAACAAACAGTACTAACCTGCTACCAGAGGAGATGGTGAACTCCTCCCTGTATAAGGAGCCTGTGGATCCGGCCAGATGGTTTGGCATCAGGAAAGACCCCACTGCACTGGGCTACAGCAAGGTGAAAGACATCTGTTCCTTTTGGGGGTCCTCCAGGGCTCATTCTTTCAGTGGGTTCTGAAAGATGCTGGAAATGTTTATGTTTCTGTTTATGCATTTGGCAGACGCTTTTATCCAAAGCGACTTACAGAGTAGAGCCAATATTCCATTTCTCATCACTATGACAATAAGCTATCCAGAGGAGAAACACTGATCAGAATCAGTGGTGAGATAGAGATAGAGGTAGAGGGACTACAGAAGGAGCTGTGGGGGGGATAGAGGTACGGGTTAGGGTTAGGATAGGAGTCCACTCGCATATTAGTGAGTGGACCACAGCTGGATTAAGACTATCATGGAGGTGTTTGAAGTATCGTGGAGCACCATGTGTGCAATGACATAAAACTGATCCGTGCAAATAACCTTTACAAGGCTAAACTAGGGCAGCACGGTGGTGTGGTGGTTAGCACCATCGCCTCACAGCCAGAGGGTTCTGGGTTAGAGTACCGGGGGAACCAGGACCAGAGGGTTCTGGGTTCTAGTCCCGGGGGAACCAGGACCAGAGGGTTCTGGGTTCTTGTCCCGGGGGAACCAGGACCAGAGGGTTCTGGGTTCTAGTCCCGGGGGAACCAGGACCAGAGGGTTCTGGGTTGGAGTCCCGGGGGAACCAGGACCAGAGGGTTCTGGGTTGGAGTCCCGGGGGAACCAGGACCTTTCTGGGTGGAGTCTGCATGTTCTCCTGTGTCTGTGGGTTCTCTCCGGGTTCTCCGGCTTCCTCCCACCGTCCAAAAACCTGCATGTTAGGTTGGTTGGACTCCAAACTGCCCTTAGTGTGAGTGTGTGTGGTTGTT